TTACCCCCCCCCCCGCCCACTACTAAACTAAACTAACCCCCCCTTATACACCAGGGATGCATTTCTCACGCAACACTCCTACCTATTACCCTAATCGCGAAGTTGTGCCTCCCTCTCTCTCTCTCTCTCCGCTACTTCCTTCTTCGTCAACACCTCTTCGCAAAAGGTGAAGACAGCCTGTCTCCCCTCCTGTCTACACATGGCTCTTATAATCGCCTTCAGAGAAAGGTCTAAACCGATTACCCTTCGCAATTCTGCCCGTTCATCCTCCCATGCCGGGCAATAGCCCAGGGTGTGCCTCGCCGAATCGTTGGGAGCGTTGCAATGCCAACACTTATTCGTTGGCTCCCTCCCGATCCGACACAGATACCTCCCGAAACATGCGTGCCCCGAGAGGATCTGCGTGGACCGGAAGGTAAGACCCACCCTAGCCTCCACCCACTCTCTGAGCTGATCCTTAATAGCTCCCAATATGGTCTCTCCTTCTTTTTCCATTTGATCAATCCATGATCTCCACTGGTTGATCAATTTTCTTCTTGCCATATCTTTGATGGTTTCTATATCCTTTCTCTGGATTGGATTATCCACGGTCCTGGTTTTCCTGATATTGGAAACTCTCTCGTAAATCTCCTCGCAACTGATGGCCTCCAATTCGAGAGGTGGAATCCCCGCCAGAGCCGTATTAACTGCAAAAGACGTAGTCTTGTATGCTCTTATCATACGGCCTGTAATTCTTCTCTGCGTAGCTCGAAGAGTCCTGATGATTGTTCCCCTCTTCTTCATTTCGTACGCCCAAATGGGAGCACCATACAGAGCCATTGATGTGATCACGCTCATGTATAATCTTCTCACCTTATAGTTTGGGCCATTCAAATTTGGTAACAACCTGCTCAAACATATAGCCGCTTTATCCAGCCTAGGTGATAATTCCTCGAAATGGGACACAAAGGTCCATCTGCTGTCCAATGTAAGCCCGAGATACTTCATTCTGTAACTTTTACTTCTACACCTGCCACATTTATAGAAGTGTGTGCAGGCCTGCCCCTATCATAAAAACCGACTATTTCGGTCTTAAAGAGGGGCGACCTCCAATCCCATTTCTTGGATCCTCTGGATAATTGTGCCCACAGCGAATTCTGCCTCCATAGTAGCTTCCTCCCATTCATCGCCCGCAGCCAGAACCAAGGTGTCGTCCGCGTAGCATATTATTAGGCACTCTGGATTCAATTCTCCTCTTTTCATTACCTCGTTGAATCCCAAATTCCACAAGAGGGGACCCAGGATTGATCCCTGAGGAACCCCTCTTCGCACCTCCTTTTCTCCATTTGAGCCATCATCCTTAGGGAAGGTCAGCCTCCTGCCTCCCAAATAATCTCGGATAACCCTTCTTAAATATAAAGGAGTTCTGTGCCTGTTGAGTGCCGCACCAATTACTTCCCAAGGCAGAGAGTTGAAAGCATTTTTGATGTCGAGAGATACTCCTATCACTACCTTCCTCTCCTTGAACGCATCCTCCATATACTCTCTAGCCCTTGCTATTGCGTCGATTGTTGATTTTCCCTTGCGAAATCCAAATTGGGTATTGCTTAAATTAGGCCCTCTCCCATTTAGATGGGTAATAATTCTATTTGAGATGATCCTTTCTAAGAGTTTTGCCTCATCGTCCAAGAGGCATATTGGACGGTAACCCGCTACTTGATTATCCGGCTTACCCGGTTTCCTAAAGAGAACCAATTTGGCATTCTTCCACAAATGTGGAAAAATTCCACTTTTCAGGCACGCAGAGAAAATCCTTCTCAATTCCGACATCATGTCCTTAGATGCGATTGCCCAAGCTTTAGCCGGGATACCGCTAGGTCCAGGAGCCGCACTTTTTTCCAGCATTCTCTTAGTGGCTAGTAGAACCTCCTCATGAGATACCTCTAACTCCGCTGACCAAGAGGATGTCCCCTCCATCGGTAATTGAGGCTCTGTCCAAACGTTCAATTCACCCGGTGGAAACAGACCAGTGATAACCCTATCTAACGTTTCACGGTCCATGGATTCAGTATAAGGAGGCGACCATCTCCTTAATTTTCCCAGGACTACCCTGTAGGGACGGCCCCATGGATCTTCATTCAGGGAGTTTATAAATTCCTCCCAGGATTTCGCCTTAGCCTTCCTAATTGCTTTGCCCAAAGATACCCTAGCTTGTCTAAATTCCCCTAGCCTAAGTTGCACTTCGAATTCATCCTGTCTATATCCCGGACGCTTTCTTATTCTTCTAAGTCTTCTTCTAGCTGTGGTTAACTCGAATCTAAGAGAATTTAGTTCGTCATTCCACCACGGCATAGCCTTCCTTGGCCTCGGAGTTGATCTTGGCATCGCCACATCACATGCCTCAGAAAGAATTCGTTGCAACTTTGTTGCCTGTGCTTCTATATATTCGCTGGTCATATCCTCCACCTGAGTTATTTTCGGCCAGCTACTCGCCAAGATTGCTGCAGAGAAAATATCTTGCTTCAACTTCTTAGTTGCCCATCTTTTTGTTCGAGGAGCTCTCAACCTTCTATATTGTAGATCAGTATTCGAGATGACCAGTTCTATATATCTATGATCAGATAGGCTCTCCCTATCCGACACCACCCAGGATCTCACTCTCTGCGCCGCTACAGGATTCGCGAAAGTAATATCTACAATTGATTCTCCCGCAATTCTGACACACGTACTTCTACCTCCCTGGTTTAAGCAAACCAAGCGAAGTCTGCTGGCCCACTCAACAATTAACCTCCCACGTAGATCACTTATAGGAGATTGCCACAGATCCGACTTAGAATTAAAGTCTCCTGCCACGAAGATCGGTTTATTTATTAATAATTGAATCTCCCTTTCCATTTCATCGATTGCTTCTTCGAATTACCTTAAAACCAAACTTGGAGGAAGATACGTGCCGAAAATCATCATCTCCCAGCGGATAGCTGTGAAGTGTTTTCCACTCCTATATGGAATACATGGAATTACGTTTTCGGTCTGTCTCCACGTAATCGCAATTGATTTATTTTTATTAGCTATCCAATGTGGATGATCCCTGGGCACCACATAGGGTTCTGAAATTATGGCCACAGAGAATCCTCCTTCCGCCATCGTT